GTATATATATATATATATATATATATATATGGGGTTGTAGGCGGTTACTTTTGTGTTAGTTATGTTAGTTAGTTCCATTAGGGATTACTCAGATGGATTTCCGCCGACATAATGTCCCACTTTAGCTAATAATCTGACGTCCAACTACGCTCTTATGCACCCCCAAAATGGTCCTCTGGCTCATTCAGCAAGTAGCACTCCATTGCTTGTTTATGTTGCTCTGGTGGACAAACTAACAGAAGCTGGCGGCCAAAATGTCTCTCTTCACCCTGAATCCCTCGTGGTGCTAAGGATTCTCCTCTTTCATAACCTTTTTGAGTTGATTTAATTAATGGAAGTTGGCTCCTACAAGTGGGAATATCATATTCGTGTATGTTGTGGTCGTCCAAGCCCCACGGTGGTGGCATTCGTGCCTGTTACAACTGTAGATTACATTTTTCAAAAGCACTGTTGTACAATAATTCTACCAAGCCGAGGGATTCATGACAATTTCTGTAGCTTACAAAGACCCCGTGCTCAGTAAGCAAGGGAACGAATGCAACTAATATCTAAGAAGAAATAAGCTCAGTGGCAAGCGTCGCCTATTAAAAACCCGGCTTCATATTTGCTGGTGGACACCTTAGGCAGATTAGAAAGCAAAATATTCTGCGTCCGTTTTTACCACCCCCGCGGTGGCACCAGCCTTACGGTAGCTTCGGTTGTGCGCCTTTCTCACCAGCTCATCATTCGATTTGCGAGTGCTATATATTCCAGTTGTTGATAGGTGTTTGGTTAGGAAGGCATCTCCTTATGCGAGATGGCTCAAGTGGTTAGAGCGCGAATTTACTGATCGGAAAGTCCTTGGTTCGAACCCGGCCTCTGTCTCTCGACTTCCTCTGTATGGGCTTGGACAACCTGGCAGTATCCCAGTCCTCGTGCTTCCTTCGGGTAGCATGGCATCTAGGCACCGGAGGGTGTTACAGCTGAGAGATTTTTTCCCTTATGCTATCAACGCAGACCAGCGATTAACCTTTGACGTGGTCATTTGAAAAATACAATTACCGATAACGAAGCACCGGTATTGCTGCCTGATTTCAATAATGGGACTGAGGTTGGTGATATTGAGTCAACTTATTTATATATAAGGAACGGTTCCCCAGATAGATCTCGTGGGTTGAAACATCAACTTTTCCCTCCAACTGAGCAAACCTTAATAAAGGAAGTAGAATAAGTATTCTGCTAGGGGATGAGTTAGCCACGTGAGTACCTACCAGTTGGGCTTGGAAATTGATACTGTTTACTCGCTGTGGCAGATCTCTGTTCAACGTACAACCGAAGCGGTATTCTGGGATCTAGCCACTTTTACTACCTATCAGCAATTCGTGTTTGGCTTTTTTTACTGACTATTAACAGGATACACAGTTTGGTCAATCAGAGGACCATGCCCTCTCCTTGAATTTCTGCATAGAAAAACAATCGGTGATGACATTCACTTGGCATCCATGTGAAATTCTTGGTGCCTCTCCTAAAGGTCGCAGTGTAGTAGACGCCTTGTTGTTTAAAGGGTCAGACTTCCTCGGGCCAAGAGAAGCTCATTTATTGGTATTCATTCGACAGAACCTAAAAGTTGGCTACCGCCCCGATGTGGCAGTCAGGACCTGTCCTGTCTGAATCACATTATCTATCCCAAATACTTTCATAGTTGACCCACTCCTTACTTTTAATAGCTAAAAATAATACCATTCCCCTTTATCAAACTAACTAGCATACTTCAGTTGCTTGCGAAGCGTTATAACCGTACGGTCGAGCAACTCCGGTTACTGTCTGTTAAAGAAACCCAATCAGTGGACGATACATCGATCGCAAACACGGACAAACAGACAGGAAGTGCTAATGCCGTTACTCACGAGGAAGACGCATTGGTTAGTTCCGTCATTTGTACTTTTCCGCTGTGTTGTAGCCTTGGAGGTAATTAGTTCACTCCAATTTCGCGTCAGGTGATAAGTTAACAGTTAACTACAGTTTTTCATGATCCTGATCATGTTCCACATTGGAAACCTCTAGGTTAGTCTCCATTCACCTTACGACATCGTTCCTGTCTATTCTGCCCGTTTGTTGGAACGGAGCATCACAAACAAACTGACGAGAAATGATACTGCGGATTTTGGGGGGTAGGGACGTGACGGTGATACTACTGATGGGAGGCATGCGAGTAGTATGTTTTCTTGTAAATCCGCTTTGCGTCTCGTGAAAAGTCGAATCTATTGCGGAATTTGTGGAGTCGCTTTGTAGCATTTGCTTGGATTTGAGCAACAGTCAATGAATATCCAGGAAAGTTCAGAAAGACGCGTTCAAAGAGAAGATGGATATTCAATTTTTGTAAACAAGATGCATATGAGTTTTTCCTCCCTGTCCAATAGTCCGTGAATGTTCAGTTGGCATTTTCTCATAAATAACTCCGAAGCGAAGGCCTTCTTTCTTCCAGTAGTATGCGTCTAAAGCCGGACAAGCAAACTGACGTGAAATGATACCGCGGATTTTGGGGGGTATTGGGAGACTGCATCTCCTCACTGATACCCGGATCACTAAGGTATACCAGTTGTACACTGCCCGTACATCCAAACACAGTCACAAGCCCTACTTCGAGTGTGACACCTATTTTTGGAGCGGGTTGGTCCCTACCGATTCGTGCTTTTTTTTAAGAACAATATTGTCTGTGGTCTTACTCCCTCTGGTAGGCTGCTGGATTTATGTTGGTCTATTTATTAGGTCCTTCAAAATCAGCATAGCCTTGAGAAACGGTTCAGTAGAGCGCTATTTGATCCCAAATATGAGATTTTTGTTCATGCATAAGAACGCGCTGTATTCTTGGATAGAGGTTGTTTGGGCTTTATAACCATGAGGAACGTCAAAATATCTCCGACTTTCTTAAAGTATTACCCTTGCGTACTGTTCAAGTGAATGTTTTCGTCCAACGTTGGGGAAATTAACTTTCGGAATGGTCAGACTTCACAGTTGCTGTCAACTTAATCCTTCACTGGTGTCACGTCTACGCACTCATAGACACAATACACAACATAGCGGCGATATTGTATCCAAGGTCATTTAGTGGACTGTTATTCCGCGTGATTGTGCTGCTTAATCGATTGCCGTGGTCTGTAGAGTCTGGTTTCGCGTCCCTGTCTTGTCAATCCGATTCCATTTGTACTTTTGGATTTCGGTAGTTTTTCGAACCACTAGTCTAACGTCAAAACTAGCCGTGTTTGTACTTTGAACAGTAAGACCCGTGGCTGTTTCTGGGAAGCGCTTCTGATCGAAGGCTGTGACCTTGCCGGTAGTGCTTCAGTGATTCTGCGAGCTACACTGACGAGTTCCGTTCCACCAAATGCAGCCATGCCAAGAAGGTCAAATGGAAGCAATCAAACGGAGTGCAGCGAGCCCCGTACTATATATAGCCGCAATGCGATGTGTTATGAAGGTCACCTCGTATTGCTCTTTGCGATGGAAGTGTGAAGATCACAAGCTGTCTCTTCCGGGCGACCGCTGTGTCCATATTTATGGAAGGAGCGATGCCGTTTTTCGCTTTGAGGACAGGTTAAAAAGATCATCCCTAAAAAGCGCACACTCAGATCGATCAATGGCAGGCGCATTGTCCCATACTTATAAGACCTGCGGAAAACGCAATGCGGCTGGAAACCCATCTGATATGCGCAGTAAATTCAGGAGTGGGACATGTATGCCCTACTTCCTTCTCCCCCACGGGCCAAGCCATTTCCCCGCTATCAAGCAAGTCACTCTATCAAGTCGTTGGTCCCGGGCACGATCCCTCCAGAAGACCATACTAGGTTGTATTCAGATGTAAGGGCTACAATCAGGGTACCGGAACAGAACCCTACATTCTCTATATTGCATTACGCGTCAGACTTTTGATTTAAAGGGTCAAGATGAGGTGCCTCAACTAAACCCCTTTCTCGTCCCTTGGCAGCCAGCTCATCGTTCACCCACAGCCATTCTCCACACCTTAGACGCTTCACTGCGGTCGAACCATATATCAGTCGCTTTAACATTGTTTCGTGTCCAAAATGAACGCAAATGATCCCATACAAAACTCCCAAAAGACCTGATCCTCTTTACAACCCCCCAATGTCTGTACTCTGTCACATTGGACAACAGACACCTCCTGCTGCAACTTTGCATTGCCGTGGTCTGTAGAGTCTGGTTTCGCGTCCCTGTCTTGTCAATCCGATTCCATTTGTACTTTTGGATTTCGGTAGTTTTTCGAACCACTAGTCTAACGTCAAAACTAGCCGTGTTTGTACTTTGAACAGTAAGACCCGTGGCTGTTTCTGGGAAGCGCTTCTGATCGAAGGCTGTGACCTTGCCGGTAGTGCTTCAGTGATTCTGCGAGCTACACTGACGAGTTCCGTTCCACCAAATGCAGCCATGCCAAGAAGGTCAAATGGAAGCAATCAAACGGAGTGCAGCGAGCCCCGTACTATATATAGCCGCAATGCGATGTGTTATGAAGGTCACCTCGTATTGCTCTTTGCGATGGAAGTGTGAAGATCACAAGCTGTCTCTTCCGGGCGACCGCTGTGTCCATATTTATGGAAGGAGCGATGCCGTTTTTCGCTTTGAGGACAGGTTAAAAAGATCATCCCTAAAAAGCGCACACTCAGATCGATCAATGGCAGGCGCATTGTCCCATACTTATAAGACCTGCGGAAAACGCAATGCGGCTGGAAACCCATCTGATATGCGCAGTAAATTCAGGAGTGGGACATGTATGCCCTACTTCCTTCTCCCCCACGGGCCAAGCCATTTCCCCGCTATCAAGCAAGTCACTCTATCAAGTCGTTGGTCCCGGGCACGATCCCTCCAGAAGACCATACTAGGTTGTATTCAGATGTAAGGGCTACAATCAGGGTACCGGAACAGAACCCTACATTCTCTATATTGCATTACGCGTCAGACTTTTGATTCAAAGGGTCAAGATGAGGTACCTCAACTAAACCCCTTTCTCGTCCCTTGGCAGCCAGCTCATCGTTCACCCACAGCCATTCTCCACACCTTAGACGCTTCACTGCGGTCGAACCATATATCAGTCGCTTTAACATTGTTTCGTGTCCAAAATGAACGCAAATGATCCCATACAAAACTCCCAAAAGACCTGATCCTCTTTACAACCCCCCAATGTCTGTACTCTGTCACATTGGACAACAGACACCTCCTGCTGAAACTTTGCCTTCTCTTTCTGTGGATGAGAAACACAGACACAAGATCTTACTTTGGTCGTTCACTTCATGCCTCTTGGGATGAGCTCAGATGTCTCACTTGGCACTCTTCTGGGCGGGAGTTATACTACGGCTATATGACCCATACAGTTTTATAGATCAAAAACGTACCTGGACGCGCAACAGCTGTCAGTGTTTGACCATCAGTGTCTCCGAAGTGTTAGTTGGGTCTGGTCGGATCATTGGTTAGCAGTGTTAGAGTAAACCAGATGGTTTTCCGAACTAGGAACTCCCCCGCAATGGATAATGTACTTATGTCTCAGAGGTTACGCTGGTTACGAGATTTACTCCGCATGTCAGACGACTGTCTGCATCGCAGAACTCTTTATGCCTAAACCTGTACTGAGTGGACGCAACTGAGAGATGGACAGTTTATGTTGTGACTTGCTGAACGGTCGCACAACTCTCTATCGCTTCCTTGGCTTGCTCCGCCCACTATGGTATATCAAGAGGCACGGTAGATCCAAACAGTCCTTTGTGGAGACAAAGGAAAATTATTACATCCTTATTTATAGGGTAATGACGGAATGTTCCACAAGGTCGTGCTAGAATCTCCGTGAGGGGCGCAAAGCGTCGAGCTAAAGATGCTCGATCCAGATTGGTTGACATTCTAACCAATCAGGGCATGCTTTCGTTTGGTTCGTAGCTTGCACGTGAGACATCCGTCCAAATGGTGTGATATTCGGTTATTAGGGACGGCTGGCCTACGGACAGTTTATGACCTTGCAGTTGTGCATGAAAACCAATAAACTCATTCGGATTGACAACTGCCGCCTCCCTAGATGCGGACCACAGGACGCAACTCACCAGTGAATGCTGACATTGGCAGATATGGCTCGGCCATGCGGTCAGTGGCGTTCGTGCATCAGAGCTAATATCTTCAATGTGTAGCTGCTTAGTTTACCCTTTCCTCAAGGCAATATCCATTGGAGCTAACTACACTCGGAAACCGCCAACCCGTTTCGCAAATAATTGGCTTTTTAGATCTTAATAACGGGGGTGTTCCAGTGAGATCACTTAGTCACATATGGGGATGAGGGCGGGATGGCTCAAGTGGTTAGAGTGCGGATTTACTGATCGGAAGGTCCGTGGTTCGAACCCGACCTCTGCCTCTCGACTTTCCCTTGCCTAGGCTTGGGCAACCTGGCAGTATCCCGACCCTCGTGCTTCCGTCGGGTAGCATGGCAACTAGACACCGAAAGGGTGTTACAGCTAAACGATGCGATATGAGGATTACCAGAACTCGACCTCCCCACCGGTGCCTCCATTTTGGCAGCAGTTGCGGACCCTTTTTCAAGAAGTGAAAAATAATTGCTGCAATTTAGATTACCGATATCGTCTGGCAATTTTCTCCTGTTGGTTTATGCTGTCGAGAATCCCGACGTCCAAATATGACTATCAGATTTATTTGATCTATCACCTTTTAATTGGAATTCTTGTTGCCACACCTGTCACTGATACCGTATATTTTCCCCATCTAGGTTCAAGAGCTCTCTTTGCTGGAAGAAGTAATTCGGATGGTGTTGGAGATCCTCAACTCTATACTGACACACGTGCTTGCGGAAAATGTGAATCTCACCTATTCACTGCTGTATAAACGAGACTGCCTGAACTCGTTACGCTCACACCCCGCTTTTCAGGTCAGTTGAGTAATGTGATGTTCCTTCTAGCGATCTGACTATCATGCCCTGGAAAGCAAGTAATCTTCATTGATCGCCTTTCTACCGCGGTCGATCTTGTGTTCCTAGTCATTGGGTTCTTGTAACTGTTAATCACTGTGGTAGCAAACATCCATCTTAGTCCGATTCGCCCTCACTTCTGCTCGTTCCATTGGGCAATGAGCCGAATCCATATGCTTAAAAGAAGAATTATGTTGGCTTGAATATCACCATCATGTCTTAGAGGAATTACCTCAGCATCGGTTGCGAGCCTTGTCCACGGACAAAATTAAACCATACAGTCCGGCTAGGAGTTGACAGCATACTGGCCACTGGAATCTGCTGTGTCCAAAAGTATACCACCAGCCCCAACCAGGAAGGCGTGGCGGTTTCACAGCACTCGTCGTTTCACATTACCCCGTCCATGTAGCACGTTATATTTATGTGACCGGCTTATTCTCCAGTGGGTGTCCATAGTGCCAGCAGAATAGGGGTTCGGTGGGAAAAACTACTCCCCTTGGAGTATGATGGTTACATCTATAGAACAAGGCCCAACTGCTTTGCCCTGGTGATTTTATTTTGTTGTTCTGTCGATTCTGTGCATTGGCCTCATTTGTCACGGGAAATTCACTTCTTATATATGACAGACTCAAACTTGAGGGCTCGGGAAGAAGCATCGGAATTGAAAATCAGAAATTACGACCTTTCACCAGGAAAGTACGAGTTGTGTACCAAAACAGAGTGGGCACTTTCAACATTACACTTGTAGTTGAGTGTGCAGGCTGTCGATTCCCAAGTAACAAGTCAAATAGTCTTTCTGTAAATGTGATTTCGGCACTAGGACTCACTGTCCTCTGGAGTGTGCATTCCATGGCAGTTGAACTAAGGGGGGATAGTTTTGACGAGCCGCAATAATAAATCGAGGAATCTTAGTTCCCTGTAAACCATGCGCGACCAGGATTATGGGTTTCTACGCATAAAAGAACAGGCCCGGGGATGGACAGCGAGTACACCTAGGGCCAATTCCCTCTGGGACTGGGACGTCTTATTCCCGAGGTGTCTCGCATTAACCACGTTATCTCAGTGGGAAGTTGTCGCCCTTGGTATTTGTTCTGTTTGGCGTGGCAACTACTGACGTAACACAATAAAAACACCATAGTAACAAAATAAAACCATCAATCATCATCTCCTGATCCAGAATATGCCACCTGGTTGATCTTTCGACCTGGTGTAACGATGGTACTACTGATGGGCGAGGCATGCGAGTAGTATGTTCTCCTGTAAATTCGCTTGAAAAGGGAGATCTATTGCGGAATTGTGGACTCGCTTTGTAGCATTTGTTTGGATTTGAGCAACACTCAATGAATATCCAGGAAAGTTCAGGAAGACGCGTTCAAGAGAAGGTGGATGTTCAGTTTTCGTCATGAAGATGCATATGAGAGTTTTGCTTCCATATCCAATAGTCTATAGCTGGTCAGTTGGCATTTTCCAATATATAACTCCGCAGCGAAGGCCTTCTTCCTTTCACTGGTATTATTCGTTCCTGGAGTACGTAAGGATCTACAGAGGATGGATCTCAAAGATGTACCAAGGCGATGTGTATGCCAGCAACTATATCAAAGTCGTTGAAAATTCAAACAGATAGTGATGGTCTAACGGGGACTAGCTGTAGAGCCTAATGTCAAAATTAGTCAGGTTCATTTTGGGTCCACCGTCGTTTTTTATTCCTTCTGTACCTATTCGCGTTTCTTCTCACCCAAACAGAGTGTGATTCAGAACTTGGACACGATCATATCCTATTTCACCAAGAAAATGGAACAGGAACTTGGTGAGACCCCTACGTCTCCAAGTGCTCTACTTGAGCTAATTCGAAAGCACTCACCGCATATCAACCGTCACTGCAACCTCAAAGTACGTTACTTCTGAAAGATATGCCTACTTACCACTGGTTCTTCCTTTGTGTTGTTGCCGATGACATGGAGACACTGAGTCGCTTTGGCGTTAGTGATACATCTGTGCAGGTTGGCTCAATAAACCATATGTTCATCGAAGGGAACAGCCAGTGATCCAAGCGTTTTGGCACAGGTTGATGTCTCCAATCTTGAATGTGGCTGTGTGCGATCGCATCCGATTGGTTCGAGGACCGTAACTCCAATCAAATGACTAAAATGCTTAGACTGTGACGTTGTCTTGATGAAGACGCGTACGGTGTTGGGTGTGACTAATGCTAGGAGGCGTTTTCAGAAACCTTCGTTAGGCGCATCTGTGACGTGTTAATCTTTCATGTACTCAAGCGCTCACCGTAGTAGTGGCACAACGTTAAGCTAACTGACCTATTCCATTCATGTTACAGGCACTTCTATGTAGCTATTCATGTCATTTCTCAGGTTGTATGAATCCACACAGTGATGTTACGCGCAGCTAAGCGGTTGTTGAAAGTCACTTCTCATAGTCACTGTCTGATCTGTACACGAATAACCGTTTAGCCGTGCGTATATGCATCAGAAGACTGATACTAGTTTGGTAAGCCCACACAGCCCACGAACTTGTGGAATAACGATGCCCCCAACTGAGGGGACTAGTGTAACGAACGGAACTGCTACGGTCAAGCCTAGTGGATCATTTGGGAGAATTACCTTCCACGTTTTCCCTCTTCTACACATTTCTCTGCAGATGAATCTGAGCCGTCGTGGATTGCTTTCGACTCCAGGCTGACACCTCTGGGGCTGTTGCTAGGACGATTTTTATCTTGAATACTGGCGTTTATCTCCGTTTTTTCTACACACCCGCACGACAACCCTTGTTTATTTAATGTGGATTTGCCCACATCATGTAGCACCTGTTTGGTTCTTATGACCTTCATCACTTGGCGCCATTTTGAGGCTTTGTTTTTATATTCCTGAAAAGATTTTGGACTCCGTTGTCAGTACAGCTTTTTTGACACTCCACCAACATTTTCAACCCAACGCCAATCCTGCCTGTTTTATTGAAATTTAGCTGCTAGTACCCACGTACGTTGGATATGATTGCATTTCGACAATGTCTGTTGATAGGGCTGTTGTGTACGACGACAGGTGGAGTGCAACGGCAATCAGAATGAGAATGGAAAAGATTGAGGGCCCGAAAGCCAGGTTTTATTCATCCAAAAATTTGACACTGAGGGCTGAAAACGGAAGAAAGTGATTTGGCAATAAATGATGAAACGTCTGAAAAACAGAGGAAATATACAACAAGGGCACTGGTTATTTTAATATCTGGTGACGATAACTGACCCATCATGTAGCAGCATGCTGCTACATGAGTAATAGCCGTTCTGTTCGTCGACGGTGTGCGTCACACTGGCGACGACACACAGTTTTCCCTCTGCCTTATTCATTTGCCGTGTGTTGTTGTTCGAATAGGAAACATCGTCTACATACTGTGACGTCCACAGTGGTCACTTTTCTGAATGATATTCACCTGTTCGCCATCAGTATGGATTGATAATGTATTGCTGAGTATCGACAGTTGCTGTAATCTCCGGGTCGCTGCACTGCGGGACTGGGGTTACTCCCATGGTGTCTTTTGTACCGGTTTGCCAGTTGGTACGACAGTCTTAAAAATTGAACTGTAATGGGTGTGCACCCAATACTGCTCCCTCACAATCTGAATTTTAAAAATCTTCCGATGGGGGCCCTACCAACTAGACATTTAAACACAAACTTATTTTTCTGCGCTAACTGAACAGATTGCTATTTTAGGTTGATGATGATATGGTCTTTGCCCCCGGGAATTCTGTCAACACCACAGTCGCCTGTTGACTACGTAACATGTCGTAAATCGAGTTTTCTGTACTGGTTTCAATTTTTTGTCGTAAATTGGCGCTAAGTAACTGCACTTGCTTTCTTTCTAACCAGAAATTCCCCGATTTGAAATTCAAGTACGTTGAAGAAGAGTCACCGGACGAATTTTTCATCCCATACGTTTGGACTATTGTTCTTCATCAGTCAGGTATTGCATTCCAAACGGAGGGCTTAAGTTTGTTTTCCACCGAGATGCCATCCGATGAGACACGGAACCACGTAGATGAAGAATCCGGTGACCGTCGGGAGGAGGTTCAGCGGGAGCTCCACGATCACAAACATTCCCCTTGCACCGATGATCAACCACACGAAACAGGCGAGATGACAACTTTCACCGATTCCACACCCACAGCTGTCTGACTGATATTTTTCGTGTTTTTTTCGATTGCATATCACCTCTAGCTCGTATTATTGGTGGGCTCGGTAATGTGTAATTGCTTCTGAGTTCTGATCCCATTCTGCCGTGATCTTCATATGTTGTTATCTGACTCGCTATGGACTTTTGTCTTCTTTTGTCACCCTGTTGACCTTCCCATGCGTTCATAACGGAATTTTTATCTGTGATCAGTACAAATAATTTTCGGACTCGTATGATCTGGATACCCAAGGAGCAGTACGTAGTCCATTCATGTAATTATCCTCAGTGGTCACATGGATCATAGTCTACCAGTGGGCATCCGTTTTACTGCGGTGAAGTTGTTTCTTCAATTCAAATTTGTATGATGACCGACCGTTCAGTTTTGGACCGCGGGATGCTGCTCCTGCTGCTGGTCACAAAGTCGCATCTAAAAAACTAACATGCTCTTGTTTTAAACGATCGGTGTTCTGTTCTCTGATTCGGAATCGCGAATGGTTGTCCGCAAAGGCTTGACCCTCATCTTTGGTGCGCGTATCAATATAACTCATAAGGAGGTGACTTTTGCGGCGCTAACTAAACTATTTTTCGAGCACCAGCGTGCTAACATGTGTGCGTTCTTCTTAGCGCAACCAGCTGCAGAACTTTCATCCTCAACGACATTAAATCCCGAAATTCGATGATAAGAATGCGCCTATTTACTTATCAACCGATAGCGAAGTGGAATGAATGCTCAGTTACATTTAACCAATCGATTGTAACTATTAAAACTCAGATGTGGATCGCCAATTCTATTGTGATAGTGATGGCCGTTAACGCTCGTGGGATGAAACAGAATACTCAGACGAACTGCATGCGTCGCATCAAGGCAAAAATCATTATCAGTGAACTACGGAAGGCAGTCCACTTAAGCCAGACGGACCAAGTGGTTAGAGCGCGAATTTACTGACCGGAAGGTCCGTGGTTCGAACCCGACCTCTGCCTCTCGACTTCCCCTGTCTAGGCTTGGGCGACCTGGCAGTATCTCAGCCCTCGTGCCTCCTTTGGGTGACACGTCAGCTAGGCACCGAAAGGGTACCACAGCTGAACGACGGAGCCAGACTCTGGTTAGTCACATTACGGGAGAGCGCCATTCGGTGGGCGGTCAGGACAGGCGGAGGCATCAGCGCACAATTTGCATGCACACAGCCACAAATGAAAGGTTGGACGGTGAACACACTCGGAGGTTCTAAGCTGCATTGTGGGCACATTAAGTTGTCACGCAAGCGCAGAGGATGAAGACAAATCGAGAAAATGGTTGTACACGGCTTTGGGATTACGCAAAATTTAGTCAACTTCTGCTCAACACCAATGCAAAGCGTGTTTTGCTCAAAGCACTACTTGTCTGTGTACGTGGGACGACTAGCATTTCATGTTGCCATGTAAACTTGCGTGTTAGTACGTGTACATGTCTATTCACACCGTTATCCAATTCTCTTCTCTGATCTATCGTTTTTGTCAGCTTGAGAATATCCGCATCGAACTGGGTGCAAATGTAGTTTCAATGACAACCCGTCGTAGAAAATTTAATCTGAATTATGGTGGAATCACACAACGTCAATATTTGTTGCCGGACCTTTTGGTTTCTACGGAGAAAGAGGGTCTTGCTTATTCCTCCCCTGAAAACGTTCACCGGCTGACGCGAGCAGTAAACTTCGGTATATTCAAGTTTGTGAGGTTGGAATCCCATGTACACCGTTTGCCAAGCTTCCAAGTGCGTCACATGCATCAATTTAAGGAATCATGGGCACGTAAGAACCCGTTTGTCGGCAGCAGAAAAACCGACTGGTTCAGTCGGTCGTACCAGTATCAGGATGCTTCTTGTGAAAATCGTACCGTAGTGCTAAATTGTTCATGACGGACCGAATTGCAGCTATGTTCTATAGTCCATACCTCCACGTTCAACAATCACATCACAAATACATTCCACCATCATAGACCAATTCAAATTTCCCAGCGGTCGTCACTGAGGAATTACATCCGGCCTACCTGATGGTTTAAATTAGTTATGCTGTCGTTTGCCTACTCATGAGTAGTAAAGATAAGCAATGCAAAAAGTGGCATCCTGAATCAAATAGCTGGTAGTGAGGAGATCGGTTGCTCAGACCAAGTTCGTAAATAAGTAGGACAGTAGATGATGTAAAATTTATTGTGTGCCAGTCCCTGGTCGGGGTTGTTGATGTAGTCGTGCGATACAGCGAAAATCCACTTGTGCTGGATTGCAGATGGTTTAGCGTAAATAACCTTCGGGTATGTAGGAAGTTGGAATTGATCTTTTGACGATAGCTCCTATTTCCCTGATGAGAGTATATTTTCACTCCAACGTAAAGTCCAAATGGAGAAAGTTGGATGTTCTGTTTGGAATGCTGCTTACCTAGCCGAACTCTAGCAGGTTTCTTCAGAGCTCACTCGGGAATGGCTATTGATACTGCCGTGTTGACAAGATCATCGGCTGTTCTTCACCTTTCCACCTGAATGGACAGAATCGCTTAGATTAACAACATCTCCTTTAGTTATGTGACAGCTTCGTGCACAGTACCTCGAAGAAATGATCATTCTAGGTAGGTTGTATCCATTCCTGCCTGGGGTTGCGGAGAGAGATCAGTGGATCCATGTGTTTTTTTTTGGGTGAAGAGACAGCAGTGCATTTACATCACAGGGGAAGACAACGTGAGGTGAACGTCCAGTTCCACGGGATTTTCCGTCACTACCTCCATAGAATAAAATTTCTATGTCGCCCTCCAAGGCTAACCCTGCAGGACGGATGACTGGCTTCAATTCGTAGTCAGTGTAGATGGTTAATAATCGGTCCAACAGTATGTTTGCTTTTCCGTCTGTCTAGATTTGCACACCTTTGTCTGAGTGCATGTATATTAGCTAAATACTACTAGGTTGTAAAGTTCGATTGAGAGACCAGTATAGTAAGTTATGGGTTGGTGCACATCATGTTTGGTTGGATCAAACCGGTAAATTAATTATAAGGCTGGTCAGAGCTCGCATAGGAGCGACCTCGAATGTGATTTGCGAAATCAGTGGAATTCGGATGTCCGCATACATTAAAGGCAGTAAGTACCGACAAAACAATTTTGTCGCAATAACGCCAAACCGGATCACTTCAGTCTGCCTTTTCCCACAGTGTCGCTGTGGCCCTCATCTGCTAGCTAAGGTGATCAACCTCGACGATGAAATTGGCCTAACCGCTGAACGTACTTTGTCGTAACATGTGTGATCTTTTAGGGTGCTTTTGCTATCGCGATGCCGCGTGCAGTTTTCGATAGCGCGCACTCAGCATCAGACCAAGCACACCATAGCTGATATTCCCTCCTTCAGTTGCCTAATGCCCACTGTCCGAACGAGCAGCGGTGACCAAAACAGCGTCAATTTGAAGTCTTACTTGTATCACTTGAACATGCCGCTTAAAAAGCCTTGATCTTTTCATGCCAGCCTGGATAGGCTAATGGCCATTATCAATGGTTTTATAGAAGTGATAAAAAGAAGTCACGCACGGTAGTGTATTCTGTGTGGAACTTGTTGCCTTTGCTTGAGTTGTGTCCGTCTGGTCAGCGAAATATTAAGTCTGTTTTGCCTTATTCGCATGACGCTACTTCGCGACGAAACGATCTGTAGCATGTTCTGTTCTGTTCTGCGTTTCTATATGGATTCAATTTAGATTATGTAGGAAATTAGGTGTATTATATCAGTTTTAGTTCCAGCCCGTTTCTCTTCAAAACTTAGAGGATGGGACGGTGATTTTATAACCTCTTTGTCGAGGTTCCATATCGACAGATTCTATTTAGTCAAGAAAACATTACCTAACAGCTCTTTTATCTGTTGAGTTTGTAAGAAAATTCACCAGTAACCTCTGTGTCTACTTTGCTTGTAAAAAGGTGTAGTCCCCTTACAACAAGCTTACGGCCTGCTCTAAAGGATTCACAGTGATATCTTCATGGCATTGATAACTATAACGTCATTCTGCAACTCATTTCGCTTGCCGTAGGGTTGATTGGACAGAATTTGTTCATTTTATGTCGAGTAAATGAGGTCTTGTTCTCTAAAGCCGCGGTCGGCTTCCACGACTTCGTCTGCTTCAGGGCATTTCCACTATGTCATCAGTCTTGATCGAATAGATTGTGGCTTCATCCATCTTACCTCTTCACAAAAGTTCAAGTAATTACATTAATCGGTCGTGCTAATTCGTCCGTTAGATTTGAATTGTCCGAACTTCATAGATTTACACTATTGATAGGTAGCTCACCATCATTTCCACGTTGATAGCGACCCAACGATGATCATGTATGTACGTTTTCCCCCAACGAAGTCAGTCATCCAAGACGCACGAAAATAAGGGGACCATTGTAACGTGTGGTGATCCACTGGAGTTTTATGGTTTCAGACTACAAATGCCCTCGACTGAAGTCACACTCACAAACAGGTTTTGCAATCGCCAGCGGGAATTCCACCTCCCTCTGGGGCTACAGTGGAAAGTGAGGGCCTGATAGCTCTGCACTGCTGTCTGTTGATTTAATTCATCTGTTACGTGACACCCCATGCTTACTCATTTCATGTTTTTCGTTCCCAACTTCCATCGATTCAATGTCCACTAATGCTAGCTAGCATACGTTTGGTCCGGACGTGTGCACGGGAAATATTCGGGTCTTTTCCAGATAAGCCCCACCACTAATGCAAAAAGTCAATGTGCGAAAAGTCAAGCCCCGCCACTTTTTGCACGCTCCAATTTAATCCACTATGTCATCAGTCTTGATCGAATAGATTGTGGCTTCATCCATCTTACCTCTTCACAAAAGTTCAAGTAATTACATTAATCGGTCGTGCTAATTCGTCCGTTAGATTTGAATTGTCCGAACTTCATAGATTTACACTATTGATAGGTAGCTCACCATCATTTCCACGTTGATAGCGACCCAACGATGATCATGTATGTACGTTTTCCCCCAACGAAGTCAGTCATCCAAGACGCACGAAAATAAGGGGACCATTGTAACGTGTGGTGATCCACTGGAGTTTTATGGTTTCAGACTACAAATGCCCTCGACTGAAGTCACACTCACAAACAGGTTTTGCAATCGCCAGCGGGAATTCCACCTCCCTCTGGGGCTACAGTGGAAAGTGAGGGCCTGATAGCTCTGCACTGCTGTCTGTTGATTTAATTCATCTGTTACGTGACACCCCATGCTTACTCATTTCATGTTTTTCGTTCCCAACTTCCATCGATTCAATGTCCACTAATGCTAGCTAGCATACGTTTGGTCCGGACGTGTGCACGGGAAATATTCGGGTCTTTTCCAGATAAGCCCCACCACTAATGCAAAAAGTCAATGTGCGAAAAGTCAAGCCCCGCCACTTTTTGCAAGCTCCAATTTAATGTACGCACACAATCTTGACCTATTTTTGATGAAAAC